CTAAGTCCAGTTCATAATAGATTGGATCCTGAAAAGGCATGAACAAGTTTATGCCTTAAAAGTTGGATTGAAGCAAAGATTGTTTCAATATAAAATACTGTATGTTAAATATATTTTAAATTTTTTAATATATATTTTTTTTTATATTTACAAACAACATTTATAATAATATATTTTTTTTAATATAATTTTTTTACATTTACAAACATTTATAATAATATATATAAATAAAAATAAAAATATATAATAAAAATATACAATAAATATACTGTTTGAAAAAAGGATGAGGACTTTTTGGAACTTTTTCTAGGACTTTTTCTAGGACTTTAAGTCCCAGGACCGGACCAGACTGTTCGGGACTGATTTACATCTCTAGTTTTATTTTTTTAATTTTTTGTTTAAAAAAAATAATATGCTCAAAAAAATTTTTTAAACAAGAATAATGAAAAAATTTATAAATTTTTTAAAAATCTACAACCATTAAGTGAAAGAGAGAGTTTCAAGCTTTCGTTTGATATTATTTTTATAACTGTAGGTGTAATATTGGTGGACAAGATAGATTTTGAAATTTTGTGGTGATTTATTAATATAATGGATTTATGGTGATCATCGCGTTTTACATGTTATATCATAAAACTAAAAAAAAGAAGTGTAAGCAAATTAGATTTAAATAATTACTTTAACTTGTATAATGTGTAGATAGATAAAGTTGAAATCATGTAGTTATCCACAAAAGAAAACCTTGCAACTGTTAGAAAAGAGCAGAGGGAACAAATGGCAAATAATTATCAAATTGCACAATGAATATAATAATAACAAATACTTATTATGTATGCTTTAATATAAAAAATAAACAAAATTCAAACTCTATCTCCTCCATACTTATCAAATAGACCTCTGTTTAAAATTAGTATATAAGTACTACACAACATATACTTCAAAATAAAGGTTTTATTTTTTTAATTTTTTGGTTATAAAAAAAGTTGTATGCAAAAATAGAAAAAATTTTAATAAAATTTTTAAAAATATAAAACCTTTAAGTGAAATAATACGTTCCAAACTTTTATTTGATACTAATTTTATAACTCTAGAAAAAGAATTGGTGGACAGATAGATTTTGAAAATTTCGTAGACATATATACACTCACTGGTCATAAATATAAGGACACTTGCAGATCATTGGAAATAATTGAACAAAGAAACATGAAAAAAAAATAAAAATTTTATTAACCTAATTGCATTTGCTTATTAAGTAAA